GATGGATGGATGGATGGATGGATGGATGGATGGATGGATGGATGGATAGATAGACAGACAGACAGACAGACAGATAGATGATAGACAGATAGATGATAGAAAGATGATAGATAGATAGATGATAGATTAGATAGCTAGATAGATAGGACAAAGACAAATAGATCGATATGACAGATAGATAATAGATGGGAGAAAAATCAATATGTACACAACATAAGAGAGAGAGAGAGAGAGAGAGGGAGAGATAGGAAGGATGGATGGTCCAAGGTCCTTTCCAACTCTGTTATTCTGCTATTCTTTTTCCTTCCTTCCTTCCTCCCACCTTCTGTCCTTCCTTCCCTCCTGTTTCCTCCATCCCTCCCTTCATCTTCCTTCCTTCCTGCTCCCCCTCTCCTTCCTTCCCACTTAGCACTAGGCCTTAGTCTTCAAACTTGGCAGGTTGAAGACTTGTGGACTTCCAACTCCCAGAATTCCTGAGCTAACATGACTGGAGGAGGAGCAATTCTGGGAGTTGAAGTCCACAAGTCTTAAACCTGCCAAGTTTGGAAAAAAAAAAACCCGACTTCTCAGGTCTCCAGGCCACAGCCAGGTAGAAACGAAACACACACACACACACACCCCCGCGAGAAGGGGGCTGCTGTCTTTAAAAAGGGGCCCACTTTAGCATCGCATCATATAAAGAGTCAATAGATTTGTAGCTCAGGGCTGAATTGGTCCTTGGTGCTCTCTGAGCTTGGTGGTTTCCTTGCAGGCGTTGCATGACCCAACTAGGGAACATCATCCAATTGGGAAGCCCTCACTGTTGGAAGAAAACCCGAGAACCTAAGCCAGAGAGGCAGGTGGAAGGAAGGAAGGAAGGAAGGAAGAAAGGAAGGAAGGAAGGAAGGAAGGAGAGAGGGAAAATAGCAAGGAAGGAAAAACGAGCGGAAAAATAGGAAGGAAAATGGGAGGGAAAATGGGAAGAAGGAAGGAAAATAGGAAGGAAGGAAAGAAAAACGAGCGGAAAAATAGGAAGGGAGGAAAATGAGAGGGAAAGCAGGCAGGCAGGCAGGCAGGCCCTGGTGCTACAGGGATATGCCCACAGCCAGAAGTTCGATTCTCATCAAAACAGGTTCCTCTCAGTGGCTTTGCCCCCAACTTTCTCTGGGCCAGTCAAGAGTGCCAGCCGTCGTTCCCGCGAGCCGCTCTGCCTCCAGACTCACCATCCTCTTCTGCCATTTCCTCTGGGCCACCAGACGTTCCTTGGCGTTCTTCCAATACAGAATCTCCAGGTCTGCTCACAAATGAAAGACTCAATTCAATCTTCCACACCGCCCGTCGTACCTAAGTGACTCCGCGCGGTTTATAACGTTCTAATCAAACCCTCTAAAGGTGCCATATTGTGGGGATGCCCTCAAGGCACCAGTGATGCCAGCATCGGGGTGTGTGTGTGTGGTGGTGGCTAAGAACCAGGCCCCTCCCAGCCCCCCAGTGCCTCTGCTTCGGGGCAAATCCTGCGGGGGCCTCCTCCCTGTTGCTTCCCCAACCCCACACAAAGCCAATCCCGGGTGTGTAATGTGTGCGTTTTCCTTTCCGCACAACTCACACCTACTCACCAGCGAACACGGGGACTTTCCTGCGGCTTCTCTGGCTGCCAGGTTGGGTGGGGTCTGGAAAGCAAGCAAGGAGCCTCTGAAAGGCGGGTGGGGGTGTGTGCACAAGGTTTTTTTTCGGGGTGTGTGGAGGGAAGGTGGACGACACACGGCAACTGAGAGGCCGCTGCTTGTATTTTGGCTTACACCACATTGGAAAAAGCTACCAACGGAATTGTAAACCTGACTTCCAATGGTTGTTATGCGTATAAAGAAATTATTGATGACTGCTGAATCGAGGCATCTGGGTGAGCTTCCCTGGACTTGGATTTCTGCTGCAAACCCTCACAAACACCCAATATATTTAACATTTCGTGCAAGGGCTCTCTAAACTTGGCCGCTTTAAGGCTTGTGGACTTCCAACTCCCAGAATTCCTGAGCTAACGTGACTGGAGGAGGAGGAATTCTGGGAGTTGAAGTCCACCAGTCTTAAAGCTGTCAAGTTGGAAGAGCCCTGTTTTAACGTATAGCATCCAGCCTGGCTGGGAGCTGAACAAAGGAAAAAAAAAAGAATTCTCCTCCTCTTTTATATACATACAATATGTACATGTATACATACATACATATACACACACACATATATACACACACACATAATTTAACATATAGAATCCAGCCTGGCTGGAAGCTGAAAAAAGGAAAAAAAATCTCCTTTTACATACTTACATATATGCACACACACACACACACACACACACACACACACACACACAGAGACACATATTTTTAAAAAGGAAGAAAAAGCAGTCAACAGATTAAACTAAACATTGCACTCATCTTCAAATCCCTGTCAACCATTTTGTGTACAGCTAGTTCTTAACTTAGGACTGATTGCTTAATGACCATTGTTATATGTGGCAATTATAGATATTGTGAGCTACACCCGAGAAAACGAAGCACAGAAGGGATTCCATGTTTATCCGATATTTGAAACTATGAAATGATTATGGGACAGTTATATAACTATATCTAATAAACATGCACTGTTTTGTAACTTGTTATGTTCTAAACTAATGGCAAGTCTGTATTTTTTGGCATAAGGATATTTGAAGGAGATGCTAGGGTTATTACGACCCGAAAGAAACTGGTTAATGACCTATTGTCTCACAGATGGTCATAACAGGACCATAACAGGAAGAAGAAGCCACGAGAACGAGGGTGGTTTCCAAAGACAAGGAAACAGGTGCTACGCCACAATATGAGTGTTGCGTAACAATAACATGGGCGTTGCGTAGGGAGATACGTAGCTTGGATAGATTGTGAACCCAGGAAAGGGGTAGAGACTCTATACTGAACCTTGTATATAAACCCCAGCCTTCCTGGGAACCATGTCCTCTGCCCATGAGCAGAATTCCCTTTTGCAAAAGCTTAATAATAAAATTCTTCTTCACTGTCTTTGGTTGTTTTTGTGATTATCACAATGACCAAAGGGGTGACGTAACTGCAAAAAAAAAAAAAGGGGGGGGGAGGGATACACCCCCGTTTTGATGGTCACCCTCTACCTGGCCTCAGGTGACCCCACTTCAAATGCTCAACAACACAGCGTTTGCAGCCGTTTGTAGCGCCCCGCAACCCCGTGGCTTATTATGGTTTGGCCCCAAAACTGGACACTCTTTCCAAAACCTCCACTGGTTTTATTTTTTTTTAAAAAAAGAGGATGGACAGGGGAAAAGAAACGATCGGCCCCTGAGCCCCCCACCCACCTCGAGCTGGTGGGCAACCTGAGCCCAAGCTGAGGGCACTCACCGGAGGACGAAAACCACGACACGAAATCCTGCAGCACGGAGGGAGGCCGCCTCTTGCGCTTGCCGCCAGACGAATCTTCCAGGCCGCGGGGCACGGTGAAGGGTCTTCCTGAAGGGGTGGGGGGGGAAAAGAGTGGGTGGGAGCCCCTGATGCTCCTGCTATCAACTCATGAAACATTTTTTAATGGCCGTTTTAAGAGTGGCCAACAGAAAGGGATGGCGGAGGGAGGAAAAAGGGGTTTGAAAGAGCAGCGCGGCAGCTTGGAAACCAAAACCGCAATTCCATGCATATCTTTTTCCAAGATTGCAACCAGGTGACTGAAGTTTCTGCCGTGCAAAAATCTAACTGGAGGACTGGAGAGCCTCCTCTCTTCAGGGTAGAGGCTGCGGGAAGGTTTCTTTTCAAGGCCAAGGAAGCTGGACGCCCACCTGGTCCTTATCGGCTCACGAAGTTCTCAAGAAGATCGGGATAAAGACTCATAACCTAACCTGCCTTGGACCTCTTGGACTACAACCCCCGTTACTTTCACCAGGCATGGGAGCTGTGGCCCACACGCCAGGTGTTGTCCAACGGTCAAGATGTAGCCCACATGACATGACTGACTGCTCCCCGAAGACGACCCTGGTCTGCTCCTAGAGAGGCTTCTAGGGCTGAAGGTGCCGGGTTCAAGTCCCCCCCCTCCTCCCCCTATAGGCCTGGAGGATCCGTACCTTTCTTAAAGGGTTTGTTTTCCGAGGAGCTGAAGGGGTCGAGGCCTTGCCAGGGGTCCCACGTGTCCTGGAAGAGAAGGAGAAGCCGCGGGTGGGTCTCAGGGGGGTCACCTGGGGGCTTCAGAACTGGACCTCAGCACCACAAAAGGAGCCCCTTCCAGCCAGCCTAGTGAAGAGGAGGACCGGGGGGTGGGGGGCGGCATGATAGCAGTCTTCCAATATTTGAGGGGCTGCCCCAAAGAAGACGGGGCCAAATTGTTCTCCAAAGCAGAGGTCTTCGACCCTGGCAACTTTACGACTTGTGGCCTTCAACTCCCAGGATTCTTCAGCCAGCAAAGCGAAGCTGCTCGAGGAATTCTGGGAGTTGGAGTCCACAAGTCGCCAAGGTTGGAGACCCCTACTTCAAAGCACCTGAAGGCAGGCCAAGAAATAACAGATCGAAACTCATCGAGGAGAGAAGCCACTTGACTACGGTGGGAAAAAGAAGAGATCCCCACGGATGAAAGTGTAATAAATAAATATAAATATATATGAATACACAGAGGTGGATAGATTGACACTCAAAACAAAGGAGAAGGAAGAAGCAGAATATTTTTAACATGGTATTTGTTTGCTTAGTTAATAGAAACAGAAGTCAGAGACTCAAAAGTTTAAGAGAATGATTAACTATACAATGAAAGTTTATTGGTGTGGATAAGCAAATATTATTATCACGAGGTGATTATTATCAATGCTTTGAATATTATTGCTATTATGTTTCAAAATTAATTGTACCCAGACAACACACCATTCGTGCAGAGTGTTTTTATGTATTCTAAATAAAAATGTATGTATGTACACACACACACACACACACACACACAGAAGCAACCTGGAACTCAGGAGAAACTTCCTGACAGTGAGGACCATTAACCAGCGGATAGCTTGTTGCCACCAGAAGTGGTGGGTTCTCTGTTAAGGTATTGAGATTTAAAAGCTGACCAGTTGTAAAACTGACGCAACGTAAGAGGAATCAGCATTGGTATTGCCTATTTAAGTACTAAGAGTGAGCCCACAGAAGTTTTACCCCTTTAAGAGGTGTTTATATAAGGCAGCCATTAGAGGGTGTGTTTTTTCTCTCCTTGTGTCCAGGATCCATTGCAAAGTTCTCTGTGTAGAGTTAAGAAGATCGACTGCTTGTCAGGTATTTGCCTACCATGTATATTACTGTATATAACTGTTGTATATAAACCACTGTTAAATGTCTAAGTCTCTGTGTGTTGTGTTTTGCTCCTGGGTTGTCTTATAATAGTAGTCACGCTGCAAACGCTCTGACATCCTCCATCACGGCATATAGGGTCTCCTGCTTGAGCAGGGGGCTGGACTAGAAGAACTCAAGGGTCCCTTCCAGCTCTATTCTGATTCAGATCAGAGACGTGGCTCGGCCGGGCACATCTTCACACCTGGAAGCTTCTCCACAACAGAGGGGAGCAGCTAAACTTCAGGGCTCACAGCCGCTGAGGGACCTTTTGCTACAAACTACCAGGCTTGGTTTGTTTTAATGACAGTTCAGAGTTACAACAGCCCTGAAAAAGGGACTTATGGCCCATTTTTCACACTTACGACCGTTGCGTGTTTCCCCGTGGTCACGTGAGCCAAATTCAACGTTCACATACTAGGCAAACGACTCGCACTGACGACGGCTGGCAGCATCCGGGAGAGTCACGCAATCCTCCCCTCTTGGGCGAGCTTTTCTGACAGCCCGATTCCCTCAACAACCGTGTGACTCACTTAACGACTGCAGGACAACTCTTCACCACCACGGCACGAAAGGACGCAAAACGGGGCAGGACTCGCTTCACAAGCGTCTTCCGCTTAGCAACGAAGAGGTGGGGCTCCCTTGCGGCCGTTAACGGTCGAGGACTGCCTCTGTCACAAGGCACACCGGCAGAAACACGGGGTGCTCCTTACCTGGTGGCGGGGATTAGCCTCCGGGGCAGGGAATCTCTCCCGCAAGGCGTAGCCTTTGCTCCGGGGGGCGCTCTAGGAACAGAGAAAGTGGGGGATGGGTCTCATCTCCGGGTCGTACCAAGAGCCCCCTCTGCCGTTCCCTTGTGGGCCGCCTTCCTGCCTCCAAGTACCGTCTGGTGTGCCGTGTGCTCCTCTGCTCCGTCGGAAGGGACCCCCTGGTCCTCCTCGGGGATGTCTGCCAGGAAGCCCTCGCCGTCCTCTTCAGGCTCATCCGCGGGGCTCGCTGCTCCTGCTATTAGAGGTACTAATTAGAGGGACTGTTACCGCTCTATAGAGCCTTAGTAAGGCCACCCTTAGAAATACCACATCCAGTTTTGGTCCCCGCACGATAAAAAAGGTGTTGAGGCTCTAGAAAAAGTACAGAGAAGAGCAACCAAAATGATGAGTGGACTGGAGACTAAAACATTATGAAGAACGGTCCCAGGAACTGGGCCTGGCTGGTCTAGGGAAGAGAAGGACCAGGGGAGACAGAAGAGCAGCCTTCCAATATTTGAGGGGCTGCCCCGAAGCAGAGTGTGAAGCTATTTTCCAAAGAAGGAAGGAAGGAAGGAAGGAAGGAAGGAAGGAAGGAAGGAAGGCAGACAAGAGAGAAAGAAAGACATCTGAGCAAACCATGGATGGACCGAAGACATGCCCAGTTTAAGGAAAAGAAGGATGGGGTGACATGATAGCAGTCTTCCAATATCTCAGGGGCTGCCACAAAGAAGAGATGTAGAAAAGAGATTGAGTCTCTAGAAAAAGTGCAGAGAAGAGCAACCAGGATGATGAGGGGACCGGAGACTAAAGCATACGAAGAACGGTCTCAGGAACCGGGCCTGGCTAGTCTAGGGAAGAGAAGGACCAGGGGAGACAGGAGAGCAGCCTTCCAATAGTTGAGGGGAGTGGGGGTTGTCTGTGTCCTCAGGATCACACCTGAGTGGTACAAAGGGGTGTGGAGCATTCTTGGAGCAGCTGACTGTGTTGTAGATTGGAGGCAGAGGGAGGGTTGTTAAACCTCCAAGTGGCCTCAACGGCCCTCTAAAAGGGGAAAAAAATGACCTGCTGTCTGCCAGGAATATCAACCCTTCCTTTCCCCCACCATCCAGTCAGAGCTGAAGAAGCTTTGGGGGGGAAGAAGTGAAATGTCTTCAAAGAAAAATCGGAAAGTTCAAATGCTTCCTAAAAAAAGCACCTTTCGGACAATCAGGACCTGGATGACATCTAAGCCCCTTGTAGCACTGATGATGTTCCCTAGTTGGGTCGTGAAACGTCTGCAAGAAAGCCAAGCTCAGAGAGCACCAAGGACTTTGCAGTCCTCCTCCTCCTCCTCCCCCCCCCCTGCAAACATCACTCCCTTCCAGAACTGATGATGTTCCCTAGTTGGGTCATGAAACGTCCAAGCTCAGAAAGCACCAAGGACCCCACAGTCAGTCAGTCTGTCCTTCCTTCTTGTCTCTTCCTTCCTTCTTCCTCTCCACAAACCCCACTCCCCACTCCCTTCTAGCACTGATGATGTTCCCTAGTTGGGTCACGAGACGTCTGCAAGAAAACCACCCAGCTCAGAGAGCACCAAGAATCCTATAGTTCAATCCTGACCTTCAAAGATTCTCTCTTCTATCTAACTCGGAGGTCTCCAAACTTGACAACTTTTAAGAACTTGCGGACTTCAACTCCCAGAATTCTCCAGCCAATTCTCCAATTCTGGAAGTTGAAGTCCACAAGTCTTAAAGCGACCTACTTTGGGGACCCCTGATTTAACTGATAAGAAATTACTCCTCTATCCAGTACATCAACCTGTAGAGGCCCCCAGCTGGCTCTAAATTCTTATAAACCACCTACAGGGTCTCGCTCCACTTTCTGGTGTGGAAAGGGAACTTCACGAGGACCGTGGTGTCACCCGAGCAGGAAAAGCCCAAAGGGAACATCAAGCCAGCCATAAAACAAACTTGCATAGGAAAAGGAATCAAATAAAAAGTATTAAAGAAGCCCCTTAGACAAAAGTCCAAATAATTGAGAAAACTAGGGAAACAAGAAAAGAAAACCCTTCCAAATCAGCAAAACAAATAGACACAAAATATATTGCAAAGGAGACAGACCGGAGATCGCCACAAAACAAATATAAGAAAACATTAGGGCGAAACTGGCAATCCAATCAAACCACACCGCGGAGTTTACCCTCCGGCGGAAATGAAGACAACCCCTGACAGGATTTAAAACATTAAGAAATACAAACACAAGCACTCACACACAAAAGGAGAAAAAAAAAAGTATAAAAATCAGGGGTTTATTATACAAAGCTAGCCAGCCCCAGGAACGCAGACTTCTCGCTATCTCTCGCCTTCCTGAAAAATAAAAAAGAACCAGCTTTCAAGCAGTTGTCTGTATCCTTGCACCGGAGCTCTCCCAGCAGGAAAATCGAGCCCTCAGAAGAAAGGCATTTTGAGCAGCCTTTCAACACTTGGACATTCATTTTTCCTATCCCTCAAATTCATTGGGTCTTTGTGACTCACTTCCTTCTCCAGAGAAGTCCAGAGCAAGAACTGGGGTCTCGCACATGCTGACCTCCATGGGTACGGAGCCAGCTGCTGGAACCAGGCTCTGGGGACCTGCACAGAAGCAAAGAGAGGGTGTGAGTACACCTAACACAACTCTACCGCTAATCAGCCGGTTCTACAGGATACCCCAATCCAATTTTCTTTACGGGTGGCAAATCTTTTGCAGGCAGAGAGATGCATTATAGGAGAGCAGGAAGCTAGGAGCTGCGCTTGCTGCTTTTTTTAAATGTCTACCTGGTTCTTGACAAACCACATGCTTAAAACAATAGTAAAAAGAAAAAAGAGAAAAAATAAAACTAAAAATAAAATAATCACAAAAATAAATAAAATAAAGTACAGTTAGAATTAATGCTAAAATGCTGAAGTTGAATGAAATTAAAAAGTTACACAAATTTAAAAAATAAAATTAAAATTAAACATAAAACTACACCATAAAAGTGATTTAAGCCGCCAAAATTAAAAGCTAAATTAAACCAAACCAAATGAAATAACTAAAATAAAATTCAAAACAAAACATAAGTAAAATTTAAAACAAAGAAAAGTAAAACAACATTAAATTAAAAACAAATACAATTATACGGTGAATAACGAAAAGATAAAACCCAAGTAAAACGAAATGAATAATTAAAAAGAT